GGGAGGGGGGAGGGGAAGGCGGGGGGGGGTGACAAGTTCTGATTTACAAAGAAATGATTTTTCTTGTACATTCAATAAATAAATCTGTCATTGTTCTTAAGTCTTGCAAAAATTGACTCAATTATTATTATGGAAACTGTTTAGTTTTATTTGCACTTTTCTGCTGTCTGGTGGGCTAAGTGCGCACAAAGGCTTGAATATTTAACTGCTTAATAATAGGTGTATGTAGGATTGTACTCCAAGCTTCTTAAGCTTTTCTGAAGCTTTGATTCAGCAAAGCACTTAAGCATGTTAGAGTTCAGTGCCTTTCTAAATCGGTTCTGGTTTTAGTTGGATGTGTTCCTGAGACCTGCAGTTCGTCTCTTGTGTCTTGTTTGTGAAAAGTTCATTAAAGGTAGCTCAGATTGGCACTGAACTCCTGGTCCCATTTCCTTGTATATATTTTGTATATGCCTGCATGATGCTATTTTCTCTAGCTGCATGAATGGTTTGGCTTCATCCTTAACAGTATTCAGAATGAGCCATGGTTTGAGGTCAGGCTATATTCACACCAGCACTACTTGGCTTAGTCTTTTTTTCCATAGGTGCCTTTGCAATGTAAGTTGCTTTCCCTGTTGGTTGGCTGCGCCTGTCTCATGGTAACATTTCACATGGAGAGAGAAAGAGAGAGATTTATCCGCTTAAAGTGGAAATATTGGGAAAGATGCCTCCTTCCTATTCCTCAAATGAATTCAAGTCTAGCAGGCCGTCGTCTACTACGTAAGTTTGTAAGTACTCCTAGCTATTCACAGCAATCTCAGCATTTTATTTCTCATGGTAATAAATTAATTTTGGGGGAGAACATTTGCCTGAGATGAGACATGTTTTGTTGCCTCAAAAACTGTGCTTCTTTTGTGCTCCTAGGTACTGGGATTGTCTCTTTGTTTATATTTTAGCTTACATCATAATCATAGCCTGGTTATGAAAGGGGAAATGTATTTCCCTCAGATTAGAATCCTAGTGTTGCATCAAAGCTGAGGCCTAGTACAGTTTGTTTCTAGCAAATCAAAGAAAACAGGCATCAATCAGTTGAACCACAACATTGTCCTTAGGTTCCCAGTGACTTTCATCAAAGGAAAATAAAATTGTAAATGTTTGAATCTAGATGTGTTCTTTAACTTCTAGGCCTGTGAACCCCCACAAACTGGTTCTGATGCACGCATTCATAAATTCTTGCAAACTGTACTTGGAAGATTTTGCACTTTTCTTGTTCCCTTTCCTGAGAGTTTGTTTTTGCAATCAGTATTCACGGCAAGTGCTACTTCCTCACATGGGTATGTACTGGTTAGAGGGAGGGTGGTATATCGAGGCCCCACTAGCTGTTTATAGATGTACTCCGGGGTGGGGGGTGCACTTTAATTAGCGTGGCTCCAGGAGCCACTCATTAAAGTGCCCAGAGTGTCTCATGTATCAGCATCCCAGCACTTCAAAATGGTGGAGGAGGTGTTTTATCTAAAGCTCACTGAACAAGCTTTAGATAAAGTGCCCCCGCTGCCATTTTGAAGTGTAGGGATGGTATTACACAAGACGCAGGTAATTGCCAGCCTCCAGCAGACTCGACTAACCATGTCTGTTCTGACACGCTAAAATTAGTGTCAGAGCAGCCTACCTGCTCATGTGTAGGCACCCATTAATTTGACCTTATTTATTACTGCATGAGAGTTCTTTCGCTTGGGCATGTTTAACATTAGTATAGGCAGCTTTCTTAGTATATGAAGAAATAAGGTGGAATATAGATTTAAATGCCTAACTTTGGTCTCCCAAGTCTGAAAATAGTGAAACATTTTTAGAGGACCGTGTTTTCCTTTTTCAGCAGTGCAAATTCCACTAGCAAAATCTGTGTCTGGAAATGATCAAATACAATATAAATGTGAGAATTTATACCTTGGTCTAACTTACATTATCAGGTAAGTAATGAGAGGTATATATACTCAGCTGTCTGCTTGTATATGAATTATAGGCATAAATTGTTATTGCTTATCTTTTGTGGTTGCGTTTGCAGGTGGAATTTTGAGAGTCCATATTCTGCAGTAGAGAAAAAATGCATGTTTTGAAATTTGCCAATAAATAGATTTTTTCCCCTCTCAAATGTCATTAACATATAATTGTTTTTGCTCATTCTGTTTGCCTTGGATCATCTCTTCTACATGACATGTTTACTTTGTCTCCTCTCTCTTTTGTGGCATGGTTACACTTTAGTGCATTTCAAATACTGTCTGCTGGGCTGGATGATTCGTGTTTTTGCTGGATCTGTTAGCTCAATTTACTGTTTTAACTACTGTGTGTTTTGAGATTTAATTTTTCTCTGACCTTTCCTTGTTAAAAATTAGTACTTGTCATACATCACAGTTTAAATAATGAGTTGAATATTTTTGTAGATGGTGAAGCTAATATACTGAGATATTTAGGTTTTGGGCTTGAGTTTGCATTGTTACTCTAGTTTTATGCCTGTATAGATCCATTGATATTAACAGAGAGAGTGGTGTAGATGAAACAAATTCTTTAACTTTGAGGATATATATTAAGGCAAAGTTAAATGCCTTGTATGCTAGTGTAGCAAAACCTCCAGTTTTTTTTGTTTTGTTTTGTTTTTAAATGCATTCCCTCCCCTTCCCCAGCCATTTCTGAATTTTTCTCTCCCTCTCTATTCCCTATAGATAAGTATAAGTAAGCTAAGATGTAGGATAAGCTTTAACATTTTATTTTAGGTAGTAAGTTGTATTTTTCTCTCCCCTCTTTGCAAATAAGTGCCCTGCTATTTTGATATAGATATCCAGTGTTTTATAAGTGATAATTATTATCTTTTGTATTGATTTTTTTTTTTTACTGCTGTTATATTGTGTGATTACTGTTTTAGGCCTATATATGTAAGTTAGCATAAGTCATGTCAAGTTTCCATTTTGTATGTCAAGCCTCCATCTTATCCCCATGCCTTGTTGTGTAACCCATGACTCGCACCTACCCTTCCTATGTAACTTGGTTCCTGAATGAATTGGGGATGAATGAGGGTGCTTGAGAGACGATGCAAGCAGGTCTAAAAATAGCTCCCTCTGAATGACCGAACCATCAACACCAATACCTGGACCAATGACCCAGCCCTTGGAATCACCCTCAGCATTCAAGAAACAAAAGATGAGGCAACCCACCATTGTGCCAAGGCTGCACATGCTCAGTAAGAACACCTGGAGCTCTCTGGAACAGGACTGACCTTGCCTGGACAGGCCCTCCCCATAGGAGATCAGAGGTAGTCTGCCCCATAAAAGGGGTAGTGAAGACTGATTCCTTGGGATGCCCTCTCCATCTGGACCAGCACCATGCCACACCACCTAGAGGCCCAGAGGCCCTGCCGGCAACCCCCCTCTGGACAACACCTACTGGACAAGGACTCCTTTCCAGCCTGGATAGGTAGCTATCACCCCCCACCCCCTC